TATATATATATATATATATATATATATATATATATATATATATATATATATATATATATATATATATATATATATATAATTTTTATTTATTTCTTCAGTTATTTTATGGTTGTCAATCAATTACAAAATGAAATTACATGATTGCTATGAATTAATTTGATTAATTGCATGCTTTATTTGTCTTTAACGTACCCTAAATTATTATAACGTTGCATTTTGAAACATAACAAACTGAAATATAGCACTGTTTTAATAGTTATAATGACTAATATTTAAATAATAGATTTAAAAAAATTCTCTTTTGTGTGCGTGTAGGCACTGATCCTGAAGGAGCTGTCGGTCATCAGAGATCACGCAGGCAGTGCATGTTTGAGAGAACTGGACAAAAGCAACAGTCCGCTGATCATGGCTCTGTGTGGATCCAAAGGTACCTCACAGCCTCATCATGGAGACTCGTTCATACTCACAGCCTTATTCATACTCGCATCCTCAACATTCATACTCTCACAGCCTCATCACGGAAACTCGTTCATACTCACAGCCTCATCATTCATACTCTCACAGCCTCATTACTGAAACTCATTCATACTCTCACAGCTTCATCATTCATACTCTCACAGCCTCATTACTGAAACTCATTCATACTCTCACAGCTTCATCATTCTTACTCTCACAGCCTCAGAACGGATACTCTTTCATACTCAACCTCATTCATACTCGCATCCTCATCATTCATACTCTCATAGCCTCATTCATACTCACACCCTCATCACAGAGACTCGTTCATACTCACATCCTCATCATTCTTACTCTTACAGCCTCATTCATACTCACACCCTCATCACAGAGACTCGTTCATACTCACATCCTCATCATTCCTGCTCTCACAGCCTCATTCATACTCACACCCTCATCACAGAGACTCGTTCATACTCACATCCTCATCATTCTTACTCTCACAGCCTCATTCATACTCACACCCTCATCACAGAGACTCGTTCATACTCACAGCCTCATCATTCTTACTCTCACAGCCTCATCATTCATGTTCTCAAAGCCTCATCATTCATGCTCTCACAGCCTCATTCATACTCACACCCTCATTACAGAGACTCGTTCATACTCACAGCCTCATCATTCATACTCTCACAGCCTCGTCACGGTGATCGTTCATAGTCACAGCCTCATCATTCATACCCTGAGAGCCTCATTCATACTCTCACAGCCTCATTCATACTTTCACAGCCTCATTCATGCTTTCACAGCCTCATCATGCAGACTCGTTCATACTCACAGCCTCATCATGCAGACTCATTCATACTGTCAAAGCCTCATCATTCATACTCACAGCCTCGTCACGGAGATTGTTCATACACACAGCCCCATCATTCATACCCTGAGAGCCTCATTCATACTCTCACAGCCTCATTCATACTCTCACAGCCTCATTCATACTCTCACTGCCTCATTCATACTCTCACCCTCATCACAGAGACTCGTTCATACTCACAGCCTCATCAATCATACTCTCACAGCTTCGTCACGGAGACTCGGTAATACTTTCAGACTCATCATTCATATTCTCAAAGCCTCGTCACGGAGATCGTTCATACTTACAGCCTCATCATTCATATTCTCACAGCCTCATCATTCATGCTCTCACAGCCTCATTCATACTCACACCCTCATCACAGAGACTTATTCATACTCTCACAGCCTCATCATTTATACTCTGAGCTTCATCACGGAGATCATTTATACTCACAGCCTCATCATTCATGCTCTCACAGCCTCATTCATACTCACACCCTCATCACAGAGACTCGTTCATACTCACACCCTCATCATTCATACTCTAAGCTTCATCACGGAGATCGTTTATACTCACAGCCTCATCATTCATATTCTCACAGCCTCATCATTCATATTCTCACAGCCTCATCATTCATGCTCTCACAGCCTCATTCATACTCTCACCCTCATCACAGAGACTTATTCATACTCTCACAGCCTCATCATTCATACTCTGAGCTTCATCACGGAGATTGTTTATACTCACAGCCTCATCATTCATATTCTCACAGCCTCATTCATACTCTCATAGCCTCATTCATACTCTCACAGCCTCATCATAGAGACTCGTTTATACTCTCATAGCCTCATAACGGAGACTCATTCATACTCTCACAGCCTCATCATGCAGTTTAATTCATACTTTCACAGCCTCTTCATGCAGACTCATACACACTCTTACAGCTTAATCATGCAGACTCGTGCAGACTAAGGACTTTAATGTCTTATACAGCTTCATCCATGGCCTGAGAGTGTGTACCGCAGGTTTTTTTGCTGATGCTCTGCTCTCCCTCTTTCCCCTTATGTGTGTGTGTGTCTACAGGCTCCTTCATCAATATCTCTCAGATGATTGCGTGTGTGGGACAGCAGGCCATCAGCGGCTCTCGAGTTCCCGATGGCTTTGAGAACCGATCTCTGCCACACTTCCAGAAACACTCCAAAGTAAGCAGAAATACTGTGCGTTATCTGTGTGTGTGTGTGTGTGTGTGTTCGCTTCATTTCTGCAGCTCTCGTCCTCCAGCTGCAGACATCAGATCACTGTTTGTGGGATAAAGGAGTAATAGACAGATTAAAGGGACTGTAAACCTTTCATCCAGTAGCTTTGCTAGTCTTCAGTTTAGTTTTTCACTTTTGAAATGACGCATTGTTCAGAAATAATGCATGCCTCTTTATTCTACTCTCACAAGTTTCATATTCTGGATGCAAGATTTCAAAACCCAGCCTCATCATATCATAGAGACTCATTTACACTCTCACAGCCTCATTATGGAGACTCGTTCATACTAATTCAAGCATGTACTCGTAGGTCGACCCAGGACACGTATTGTATCCTGCTTTACTTTAAGGAATTGCTCCTGAAGTGTATCTGAGGTTATAGAGGACTCGAGCTGAAGGCCGTGTGGAATAAAGCAGCATGTTTGTGTGCTTCTTCTTTCATCTTCAGCTCCCCGCAGCGAAGGGCTTTGTGGCAGACAGCTTTTATTCTGGTTTGACCCCCACAGAGTTCTTCTTTCACACCATGGCTGGTCGAGAAGGTCTGGTCGACACCGCTGTCAAAACAGCAGAGACCGGATACATGCAGGTATATGCAGACAGTAATATACATGGCACTGTTTGACTGCTCTCTAATTATGTAATTAGGAAGATCATCACATTTGTTCATGCATGCAAACAGTTATATTAAGGTGCCAAAAATAAATGATGTATGTTTCTGATCACAGTATTACCTACTCAGTTTTTCTTCTGGTGAAAGTCTCATTTCTATGGAAGCCCGCTCCTGCCACTGAATAAAATAAATAAATAAATACGATGTAAAAAAAATGTATAAAGTCAGAATTGCGAGTTATTGCATTAGCATTGAGTCAAAGTCTGAATTGAGAATTAAGTCAATTGAGAGTTATTATTTCATAATTGCGAATTATTTCGTCAGAATTGCGAGTCAGAATTGTGAGTTATTACATCAGATTTGCGAGTTATTACGTCAGAATTGCGAGTTATTACGTCAGAATTGCGAGTTATTACGTCAGAATTGCGAGTTATTACAGCGGAATTGCGAGTTAAGTCAGAATTGCGAGTTATTACGTCAGAATTGCGAGTTATTGCATCAGAATTGCGAGTTATTACGTTAGAATTGCGAGTTAAGTCAGAATTGCGAGTTATTGCATCAGAATTGCGAGTTATTACGTCAGAATTGCGAGTTATTACAGCGGAATTGCGAGTTATTGCGTCAGAATTGCGAGTTATTACGTTAGAATTGCGAGTTATTACAGCGGAATTGCGAGTTAAGTCAGAATTGCGAGTTATTGCATCAGAATTGCGAGTTATTACGTTAGAATTGCAAGTTAAGTCAGAATTGCGAGTTATTAAGTCAGAATTGCGAGTTATTGCATCAGAATTGCAAGTTATTACGTTAGAATTGCGAGTTAAGTCAGAATTGCGAGTTATTAAGTCAGAATTACGAGTTATTACGTCAGATTTGCGTGTTAAGTCAATATTGTGAGTTATGTCAGAATTGTCAGTTATTACGTCAGAGTTGTCAGTTATTATGTCAGAGTTGCGAGTTATTACGTCAGAATTGCAAGTTATTACAGCGGAATTGTAAGTTAAGTCAGAATTGCAAGTTATTGCATCAGAATTGCGAGTTATTATGTCAGAATTGCGAGTTATTGCATCAGAATTGCGAGTTATGTTAGAATTGCAAGTTATTACAGCGGAATTGCGAGTTAAGTCAGAATTGCGAGTTATTGCATCAGAATTGCGAGTTATTGCATCAGAATTGCGAGTTATGTTAGAATTGCAAGTTATTACAGCGGAATTGCGAGTTAAGTCAGAATTGCGAGTTATTGCATCAGAATTGCGAGTTATTGCATCAGAATTGCGAGTTATTACGTTAGAATTGCGAATTAAGTCAGAATTGCGAGTTATTACAGCGGAATTGCGAGTTAAGTCAGAATTGCGAGTTATTGCATCAGAATTGCGAGTTATTACAGCGGAATTGCGAGTTAAGTCAGAATTGCGAGTTATTGCATCAGAATTGCGAGTTATTGCATCAGAATTGCGAGTTATTACGTTAGAATTGCGAATTAAGTCAGAATTGCGAGTTATTACAGCGGAATTGCGAGTTAAGTCAGAATTGCGAGTTATTGCATCAGAATTGCGAGTTATTACAGCGGAATTGCGAGTTAAGTCAGAATTGCGAGTTATTGCATCAGAATTGCGAGTTATTACAGCGGAATTGCGAGTTATTACAGCGGAATTGCGAGTTATTGCGTCAGAATCGCGAGTTATTACAGCGGAATTGCGAGTTATTACGTTAGAATTGCGAGTTATTACAGCGGAATTGCGAGTTATTACAGCGGAATTGCGAGTTATTACAGCGGAATTGCGAGTTATTACAGCGGAATTGCGAGTTATTGCATCAGATTTGCGTGTTAAGTCAATATTGTGAGTTATGTCAGAATTGTCAGTTATTACGTCAGAGTTGTCAGTTATTATGTCAGAGTTGCGAGTTATTACGTCAGATTTGCGAGTTATTACAGCGGAATTGTGAGTTAAGTCAGAATTGCGAGTTATTGCATCAGAATTGCGAGTTATTACAGCGGAATTGCGAGTTAAGTCAGAATTGCGAGTTATTGCATCAGAATTGCGAGTTATTATGTCAGAATTGTGAGTTATTGCATTAGAATTGCGAGTTATTACGTCAGAATTGCGAGTTATTGCATCAGAATTGCGAGTTATTGCGTCAGAATTGCGAGTTATTATGTTAGAATTGTGAGTTATTACAGCGGAATTGTGAGTTAAGTCGGAATTGCGAGTTATTGCATCAGAATTGCGAGTTATTGCATCAGAATTGCGTGTTATTGCATCAGAATTGCGAGTTATTAAGTCAGAATTGCGAGTTATTAAGTCAGAATTGAGAGTTAAGCCAATTGCAAGTTATTACGTCAGAATTGCGAGTAATTAAGTTAGAAATGCAAGTTATTAAGTCAATTGCGAGTTATTATGACAGAGTTGCGAGTTAAGTCAGAATTGAGTTATAAAGTCGTAATTCTGAGTTACAAAGTCAATTCTGAGTTATAAAGTCAAAATTACGACTTTATAACTCAGAATTACGACTTTATAACTTAGAATTATGACAAATTTTTTTAATTACATTTTTAAAATTCAGTGGCGGGAATGGGCTTTCATACATTTCTTTTTGTTGAATTTTAATTAAGAAATAAAATTTTAATGGCAACAATAGTAGTCCACTTAAGAAATAAAAAACGCATTTATTTACTCTCTAAAAACACTGATTGCGCACACTCTAAAATGAATATGTAATGCTAATATCAAAAGTAATTGTAATTGGTTTATCATTATGTTGTTGTGTTGTTCAGCGGCGTCTGGTGAAGTCTCTGGAGGATTTGTGCTCTCAGTATGACCTGACGGTGCGCAGCTCCACCGGAGATATCATACAGTTCATCTACGGCGGAGACGGACTCGATCCTGCAGCCATGGAGGGAAAAGACGAACCGCTTGAGTTCAAGAGAGTCCTCGACAACATACGAGTACGTCCATCAGTGAAAATCTCGCTTAACAAGCAACCAAGTTCTAGATTATTAAACTCTATTCTTACACAACGGTCTGGAATACTCTATTTTAATTGGTCAGTCGTGACATTACAGGGTATGTTATTCTCAGATAACCGCTGAAAAACATGCTTTCTTTTTAGCTTTGTGATTTTGGCTGTTTGGCACCATCTTGTGTCTGGATGATGAACAGGTTAGTGTATACTCCATCAGCTGGTTTAATTTCTGTCAGCTTTGGGTTTTTGACTGTTTGGCTTCATCTAGTTTCTGAATTATGCTCAGGTTAGTGTATACTCCATCAGCTGGTTTAGTTTCTGTCAGCGTTGTGTTTTTGACTGTTTGGCACCATCTTGTGTTTGAATAATACACAGGTTAGTGTATACTCCAGCTGGTTTATGGATGAACATATTCACTGACTGATTCTCAGTTCCTGGATTAGTTTGTTATTTAGCGGTTGTTATCTGGGAATAACATACCTTAAATTGTCACAGCCGACCAATCAGAAGCAAGTACTCTAGACGGCATTGTAATAACCTTCCACAACAACTTCCTGGATGTTCTTTATTCTTAACATAATACAGCACTACACCTGCATTCACTTCTTGTTGATGCTTTGAATGAGGAGCGGATCAAATTGAAGCATGAGCTGACTATATACTACATAACACAATAATAAGCAAAATATAAGCCCTGTCTGAGCAGATTTCAGCCATGCAGTTTTCTTCAGAGCTATTGAAGTCTTGTTTATGCTGTTGTAGTGTGTGAGTAATCAGAGTGCATGCTGGGAGTGCGGCGTCTGTGTTCAAACTAATATCTCCAGCAGATGCTGTCCATCACTTGCATTTATAACCCGCTGGCTTATTTTCACCTCTTCACACTCTGGAACTCGATTACCGCACTCTGTCAGGTCTAATTGGTTGAAATGCTGCTGAAGGAGGCTGGGAAATAAAATCTCTCTCTCTGTAGGGACGCTGAAGAGCACTTTGTGGGTAGTTTTTGCTCTCGCTTCTGTGATTGGAGAATCTCAGAGCATCTGGCCATTTTAAGTTTTTATTTTTGCAATGAAGAATAGAATGGAGTATAACATGTATTAGGATGGAATATAATATAATAAAGTGGAATGGAATAAAATAGAATAGAATGGAATAGGATGAAATATAATATAATGGAATGGAATAAAATGGAAAATTAATTAATGGATTGGAACGGGACCAAATCAAAATGGCATGAAATGTATTAGAATGGAATAGAATAATTGATTAGAATAAAATATAATAAAATAAACTGGAGTGAAATAAAATGGAATTGAATGTAATAAAGTGGTATATAATAAAACGCAATTATATCAAGGGAATAGAATAGAATGGAATAAAATGGATAAGAATAGAATATAATAGGATATAATTAAGTGGAATGGAAAAAATATAAAATGAAATAGAATGGAATAAAATGCAATAGAATAACATGAAATGGAACAGAATTGAATTGATTGTAATAAAATGGAATGTAATTAAATGCTGTATAAAAATGCAGTTATATCAATGGAATGGAATGAAAGGGGTTAGAATGGAATATAATAGAATGTAATTAAATCGAAAAATATAGAATGGAATAAAGCAGAATGAAATAAAATAAAATGGAATGGAATAGAATGGAACAGGGCTCACTTGAATAGAATAATCTAGAATGGAATAAGAATTTAATAAAATGGAATGGATGCAATGGGACGGAATGGAAGAGGACAATAGAATGGAATAAAATGGAATAGAATAATATGAAGTGGAGCAGAATTGAGTTGAATGTAGTAAGACGGAACATAATAAAATGCTGGATAAAATGCAATTATATCAGTGGAATGGAATACAATACACTGGAACAGAGCGAATAAATGAAATAAATAAGATGGAATGGAATAGAATTAAATTAAATGGAACAGCACAGAACGGAATTGAATAAAATGGAATAGAATAGAATGGAATGGAAAAATTGAGTTGAATGTAAAAAATGAAATGTAATTGCAATTATATAAAAAGATGGAATAAAATAGAAATTAATAAAGTACAATGGAACACAATAGCATGGAATAGAATAACATGGAATGGATTAGAATGGATTAAAATGGTATGGAACAGAATTGAAATAAATAGAATAGAATGAAATAAAATGCATTAGAATGGAATACAATAGAATGGAATGGAAAAAAAGAATGAAATAAAATGGAATTTAATAACTTGAAATGGAACAGAATTGAGTTGAATGGAATAAAATGAAATGTATTTAATATAATAGAATAAAATGGAGCTAAATTAAATGGAATAAAATACAGTGCAATGGAATAGAATGGAATTTAATAGAATAGAATAAAATGCAATGGAATTGAATGTACTGAAATGCAGCTACATCAATGGAATATAATAAACTACAATGGAACAGAATAGAATGAAACAATAAAATGAAATGGAATAGAATGGAATAAAATAGAATAAAATGGAAAAATGCTTTAGAATAAAGTAGAATAGAATAATATGGATTTAAAATGTGAAATGGAATAGAATAAAATACAATGGAATGGAAAAATGGTTTAGAGTGGAATTGAATGATATAGAATGGAATGAAATAAAATGGAATGGAACAGAATAGAATGGACTAAATGGATGAAAAGAATGGCATGGAATAGAATGCAATCTATAAAATGCAATTCTGTCAATGGAATGGAGTAAAAAACAATGCAACAGAATAGAGTGCAATGGAAATAAATTGAAAGAAATAAAATAGAATGGAATAAAATACAATGATTAATATAGTGAAATATTATGCACTTTAATCATGGCAAAGACAATAAAAAAAGCTTTTAAATGGCACTTAGAAATATTTCTAAAAGAATTAAAGTTTCACAGGAGGGAGAATAATTAAGATTTCAACTGCATATAAATAAAATAAACACTGTAAAATGGTACTGAAGATATGCATTGATTTATTTATTCATAGATTTGTTTTCAACACTGTCGTCTTCACTTCATCTGCTATTTGTAGTGTTGAAAACGTATTTTCTGGTGTTTTTCCAGGCTGTGTACAGCTGTACAGGTGAACCTGCGCTCAGCAGAAACGAGCTGCTGTTGACCAGCGACTCCATCATGAAGAGGAAAGACTTTCTCTGCTGTAAAGACACTTTCCTGGAGGTCAGAGTCGAACCTTTACTTCTGTTAATCACAAAAAGAAGACGTTTAGATAAATGTTCACGCTGCTCTTTTTCTATAAAAATCTAATCAATTTAATTAATAAAGCACAACATAAAAAAAAAAAAAACAGTATTAGACCACTGTGCTGTACAAAATGTGTACTGAAGTGTTTGGGCTCGGGGGTTGTGTGTGTGTGTATGTGTTATTCAAGACATTGACAGATACTGGCAGTGACAAGTACATGCAGGTACTGTAAAGCACGCATAAGGAGTGTGTGAGGGTGATCGACTTCATTAATGTATAAATGATAGAGCCAGATGTGTGTTTAGTTGAGCATGACTTACAGCGGTGTGTGTGTGTGTGTGTGTGTGTGGATCTGCACACACTGATCCTGATGCACTCTGTCGGTCAGACTTGTATTAGAGGCTTTCATTTTAATGTTAATCATTATTTACGCCTTGTTTGCTCTGCATCTCGCTGCACTGTTATAATACCTGTCTGAATGTCAAACATATCTGTAGCTCATTTAAACCGAAGGTATTTTCTTAAAAGTTTAACGATTAAAATGAAAACCAGATTAGCAATTTTATTATAGAAAATTACCCAAAATATGTGCCAGAATTATGCAATACAGTGCAACATTTGTTTATAAAGGACATTAAAAAGCTACTAAAGTGCTGTACACAGGAGTACTAAAGACAGAGACGAATATAGTAATTAAAATAAAGCATTTATTAAGTAAAAGCTATTAAAAAAACAGTAATAAAGGTGAAAAAAAGGCAAGAAACACTAAATAGTTTTTTTTTTTTAAATCACAAGATCTTAATGATGGACAGAGCAGATTATTGACCCCTCTGTATACAAATAATATTTTCAAATCACTTCTATATTTAATGGGTAACCAGTGAAGTGCAGATAAAATAGGAGTAACTGACTCATACTTGTGGGCGGGAAAAATCCAATATAATTTTTCCTGTGACAATTTATTGTCCCTGTCAAATTGATGAATATAGTAGAAAATATGTATATTTGTTATATTTTACATATTATATTTATATTTTTGGGTTAATTTTAGTAAAAAAAAAAAGGCCTTTTTGATTAGTTTTAATGATTCAAATATTTCTATTTAGGTCTGATTTATTAGTTTATTTATTTATTTATAAGTTTTTATTTAAATTAGTTTTATTATGTTATTATTTTAATTTATGTTTATGTTGGTGTTGCTTTGGCTTAAATATTAACTGGGCTTAAATAAATATTAAATATTTTCCCCATGACCATATATTGTCCCTGTCAAACTGATAAAATGAATATAACAGAAAATAAATATTTACATTCATTATATATTATATTTATATTTTCAGGTTAAATTGAGTCATTTTATGTGATTTTAGACTTTTTCTAATTAGTTTCAAAGTTTGTTTAAATTATTTCTTTTTAGGTCTGATTTATTTGTGTTTTGTTTGTTTGTTTGTTTGTTTGTTTATTTATTTTGTTTATTTTTTACTATGTTTTATTATATATATTATAATTTATTAACTGGGCTCAAATACATGTTAAATATTTTCTTGTGACAATATATAGTCCCTATCCAATAGCTAAAATTAATATAATAGAAAATATGTATATTTATCATATATTTATATTTTCAAGTTGATTTTAGTTGCTTATTTTATTTATTTTATTTATTTTTATGTGATTTTTAGTTTAAAATATTTCTGTTTTTTTTTCAGTTTATTTAATTATTTTATTTTTATAAAGTGGTTTAAGTATGTTATCATTATAATTATATACAATTCACATAATAAATTTTGCCAAATATGTGTGTTTGTGTTGCCTTGGCTTAAATATTAAATATAAAACAAAGCATTAAAATATTAACTAAAATATTAAATTAATTGTTTATTTAGTAATTTTACATGATTTTTGACCTTTTAATTGGTTGTAAAGTTTGTTTAAAATATTTCTTTCAAGGTCCAATTTATTTATTCATTTATTTATCATTTAATTTTTTTTATTAGTTTTAGTATGTTATTATAGTTATATACTATTCAGATAATAAATTGTGCCAAATATGTGTGTTTGTGTTGCCTTGGCTGAAATATTAACTGGCCTCAAATTAATATTAAATATTTAACATGCATGTATGCATATTTATATAAACCAAAGTCATTTTTAATGGTGTTGCTCATTAACATCACTGGAGAATTAAGAGTTTAAATCCGATTTAGTTTTTTTGTTTATTGCATTATAGTTTATTTTCATTGAATAAAATATTTTGTGGTGATATTTGATGTCACTGATATTAATCCACCTATAATAATGTGTAATATTTCAGTGCGATGCTGGATTATTCTGAATGAATGGTTGTGCTGCAGTTCTGCATTGCATTTTGGGTTTGTGGTTTTGTTGCTGAATATTTTGTTCAATTGTAGGAAATCAGAAAGTTCATCAAAACAGTTTCTGAGAAAGTGAAAAAGACGCGCGACAAATACGGCATCAACGACAACGGGACGACAGAGGTACGAGCTTCATCATGTGTTCACTACAGATTATATAAGACTGATTTAAAAAGCCATTTGTAGTGTATTTCTGTAGATGGCTCAACTTGACTCCTGTTGCTGTTCTTCAGTACTGACTCATCTAATCTACACTCCCTGACAAAAATCTTGTGGCCTATCCAAGTTTTAGGAATATCTGATAATAACTTGACTTCTAGTGATCATTCGGTATTGGAAGTGGTGATGCGTATTTGAGCACAATAAAATCTGATCATGTCTTGATGTTGACTGATGTCATTAGGACAGTGCGGTCTGACTCTGCTTTGACTAAAGTGTCATCACTGAACAGAAATAATGTCCAGTATAGAATATAAAGTCCTGCTGCAGTGGAGACAGAATGAATATTGTGTCTGACTCCATCATGAGCTTGGAGGACTGCATCCATACATCTCTGACATGACTCACATCACTGATTAATAAAGTCATCTGGAATGAAGAAGAAAGCCTTCCTGCAGGACTCCCAGAGTTCATCAAGAGTCTTTGGCTTCATGTTCAACGCCTCCTCCTTCATCAGCTCAATAATGTTCATCTCTGGTGACTGGGCTGGCCAATCCTGGAGCAGCTTGACCTTCTTTGCTTTCAGGAGCTTTGATGTGGAGGCTGAAGTATGAGCAGGAGCGCTATCCTGCTGGAGAATTGTCCCTCTCCTGTGGTTTGTAATGTAATAGGCAGCACAAATGTCTTGACACCTCAGGCTGTTGATGTTGATCATCCACTCTGCAGATCTCTCACACACCCCCATACTGAATGAACCCCAAACCATGATGTCTCCTTCACCAAACTTGACTGATTTCTATGAGAACCTTGGTCCATGCTGGTTCCAGTAGGTCTTCTGGAGTATTGGTGATGATTGGGATGCAGATCAGCAGATGATTCACGGGAAAAATCAGACACTTTTACACGTGATCACTAGAAGTCGAGTTATTATGTGTTGATCTTACAACTGAGATCAACCACAAGACTTTTGTCTGGGAGTATATTTGATATAATGCTAATAAAGTAAAGAAAAGTGACATCTGCGAAACATTGCAACTGTTCTATTTTTTTCTTCATATTATTCTTGACTGCATTATGTTTTCGTAAGGAAGAAAAAAATCTGATATTCTCTAATTCTCAAATGAGTGAATAGGAAATGTGTGGTTGGGGTACATTGCATTTACTTTTACCATTAATTGGCAATGGACCCTTCGCTAAGCCCCACCCTCCTTAGTTACTGTTGCTACGCCTATCAAGCTTTTGTGCATGTCATGGCTTTTTCAATGTGTGTGCGCTGGTGTCAGAGATTGCCAGGGATATAATGTCATTTTTGGCGAACTGGTGAGATATCCGAGAAAGACAGACAAAACAGGACTGCAGTCTGCATTACAGGGGTGTATTCACGGCATAATACGCAACCGATTAGAGAGTAAATCAAACAAACTTGAAGCTAGCTTAGCCTAGCCGCCTTATTCGCTAACCATTCAACAGCTTAGCTCATGCTCAGCAGGAGAGGGGAATTTAAAAATAATCTAATAATAATAAACGAAATCGTAATTTCTCTATTTTAGCCAAAAAGCCTGATAGATTAATTGGGTGCAATGAAATATAGCCTTACTAATGTGAGTGAACAAAAAGGAATAAGACAGCTGGGAAACATCACCAGCTTTGTGTTTTTGTAGGAAACACAGTTTAGATCTGTTTAGGGTAAGATGTGTGCGAGTTATTGCTGTCGGTCTATCACCGCTCCGCTCCTTTAGCGCCCCTCACACAGCTTGATCCACGCTGGCATTTCTCCTCTTGGGTTTTAGGTTTTGAAAAGGGAAAAAATTCCACCATCCCGTCCAAACTTTAAGGACACCGGGTATCAGATTTGCACAATCCATATGCACTCGCTCGCTCGAAAGCTTGACAGAGCCCCTGCGCGTAGCTACAGTTGCTAAGCCACGATTGGTGGATGGTGGTTTTTGGGCGTGGCTTAGCGAAGGGTCAATTACACTTTAAATTAAACTGGAATTAAATTCAGGAATAAAACATTTGTAATCTTACATATATCAAACAAACCTTTACAAATAAACTTGAATTGAAATGAATGAACTTATTTGACTTCAAGCCATGTCTTTAGCTTGGGTAACATTTTATTCTGATGGTCCATTTGAGCATTAGTAGACTGTCTGCTTAATATCTGCTGATACAGAAATTCAATAGACATTTAACTGACTATAAGAAGCTTTGCAAGTACATGTCAACTAACTCCTATTCCTTATCCCAACCTAACAGTCTACTTATAGTCTAATGAGAATTAGTTGGCATGTGAATGCAGAGTAACTTAAACTCCACAAACAGACCATCAGAATAAAGTGTGACCATAGCTTGTTTTCTGATCCATTACAGCCTAAAGTTTTATACCAGCTGGACAGAATCACTCCGACACAGCTGGAGAAGTTTCTGGAAACCTGCAGAGACAAATACATGAGGTAACACAGCGGGAATACACTCATTTACAGCAGTAATTGCACTCGTATGCTTGAGTAGACGGAGACCTGTCGCCATTATCCACCACTCGGAGTCATGTTATCAACTAAAGTCAGCTTGTTCTGGTTCTCAGGGCGCAGATGGAGCCCGGGTCTGCAGTCGGGGCTCTCTGTGCTCAGAGTATTGGGGAGCCAGGAACGCAGATGACCCTCAAAACCTTTCACTTCGCTGGAGTCGCGTCCATGAACATCACTCTGGGCGTGCCGAGAATCAAAGAAATCATCAACGCATCCAAAAACATCAGGTGAACATCACACACACCGGAAAAATCTGGGAATATCAGTTAGTTTTGGTGTTTTTTTGACTTTGAAATGATCAGTGATTTATTTAAAGTACAAAAAGAGTGATTATATATAATATAGGTGTTACAATATTGGCGAAAGCACTGTTGCAATGCTTTCGTAAAATAAAAAGCGAGTCGGTAGGTGAGTGTGTGTGCATGTATGAGCTCCTGTCACTCTCTGGACGAGTGTGTGTCTGATTGCTGCGGTTTACACTTCAGAGATGATTAATGGCTGCTGTAACCCTGCTCTTGTTTCTAATGTGTGTGTGTGTGTGTGTGTCAGTACGCCCATCATAAGTGCCAACCTGGATACCAATGATGACCCAGACTTCGCCCGGCTGGTGAAAGGACGCATTGAGAAGACTCTTCTGGGAGAGGTGTGCTCATTAATAACAGTGCCGTCAGCTCCAGTCAACATGCAATTAAAATGCACTCCATTGAGTTGGATGTGCAGTGAATTAGCAACACCCTAGCAACCATCCAGAACACATAGCAATGCATTAAATCGCTTATATTACCATGCTGAACATGCACTGAAGCAATGCTTTAACTTCATACAACTCCGCTCTATGTTTAGCAGGATTGCACGTTATTGCTGTGCACTAAAAATCTGCATTTGCAATCACACTGCTGTGAAGCTGGATGTTTAATTACTGTACTTGTAGTACTAGGGTTGTGCTGATAGACGATAGTATCGTGTATTGACGATAGGCAAAGATATCGTCGAGAGCTGAGACCTGTGACGATTTTAAAGGAGATATTTAGCTCGTTTGGCACTAATGTAGACCTATTACATGTTTTAATTGCATTATTGAATAAAATGAATAGTATTATTAATTTTAATCATCATCATTAATAATAAATTAACTCTAAATAATATGATAGCTTCAGCTGTTCACATCAACATCGCCTGACTGACACTTTCGGACAAAAATGATTTACTTGATTGCTCGCTTGCGCTCTTTCTTTGTCTCTCTCAGCAGCAGCAGCAGGTGTTGAAGTGCGAGCTGCACGTGAGGGCACAGCCACATCTTAGAGCAAATTAGTTTGCAGCTTTGTTGCATAAAAATTATAGGCTAAATAGCAAAACTGGATTTTATCAACAAGCATGTTAAATTAAACCATTTGTAAAAATGAAACAACGGAAAAAGAAAATGAACTCTGAAACCAGCTCTAATGTTCTGGAGTAAGACGTGTTGCGGTCGTTGATCATTCGAGACTCCTTTAACAGCACTGCCGCATGATTCTCTCTTGCTTTCACAAAGTTATTTATCTTTTATATCCATTATTAATAGCCCATTTTAAGATTTGAGGGGGCTTATAGACTATTTTTCAGTGCATGCATTGACTGCTCCTTCAAATACATAGCATATACATGTCTTATTTGTGTTTAATTCGATAGAATCATAAACGCAGACATGCGCATTTTTCAGAAAATAACCCATTTATTTAATTTTAAAAATAAGTTAGGTCTATATTTATTTTTATAGCCTAAAATATATTTTATTTATTTATTTAAACTTGCCTATATGCAATAAAAACAATCTGTATTTAACCTTTTGCCTTTTTGGCATTAAAGAATTGTTGAACAGATTACTATTAACTCATCAAAGAACATTTGCTGAGCTCAGTGAAAAGTTTTAGGTCAAATAGGCTACTTAATATTAGAGCAATAGGCTAATACCGACTCGCCGCAGCCATGTCTAAAATGAAACTTATCAGAAAGCAATAAACACATGCCAAGCACAACATTGTGTTCGATCTTAACAAATACAAACGTGACACTGTTGATGATTACTTTTGTGATTGATTCGACCTGAAGCTGCGCCGCGCTCGACTGAACAAAAAAAGAAAACTTCACCGTCACGTGCAGGCGGCGCCGACTCTATCCGCCTCCCGTCTGAAAGGACCTTAATGCATCCTTTGTTTCTTCCGTGCGTCAATAAATGTCATTTCATTTGCTTTCATCCATGTAAATTATATCCATTTTCCCGCTGGCCGAGGATAACGGCATGAACCTGAAGTCACCATAAAATCCTGTCCAGCGCCGCACTGTTGCAGCAAGTCTTGTTTGATATAATTTCGGTCTCAAAGCCCATTTAGCTGTATGACTGCGGTGATTGGCATTGGTTTGAATAATTATCCAAAATCAAACGTCATGCTAATGCAATAAGTTATTAAATAAGTTTAAAAATCAGCCAAAAGGTTCATAAATTTGTTTAGATATGGTAAAAAAAAAAATAATAAAATAAATAAATATATATATATATATATATATATATATATATATATATATATATATATATATATATATATATATTTTTTTTTTTTTTATATATATATATATATATATATATATAT